CCATATACTAAGAAGGTATTATAGTCATTTTAATTACTTGCCTTTTAATCTTCCCATTTAGAATATAAGCGGTTTATCCCCCATGATAACCTTGGTGGTATAGGGGGTTAGTTGGTTGGTTGGTTAGTTGGTTGATTGGTTGGTTAGGTTTTTTTCAGGTGGGGTTTGAAAAGCTTGGATTTTTACTTCAACCTGTGCATTTCATATCTTTGGATATTTTTGTGTTACACATTTATGCTCTTTTAATTTGAAAACTTCCCTTTGGCATTTCTTGTAAAATATGTCTGAAGTGATGTTGATAACTCCCTCAGCTTTCACTTGCCTGGGACAGTCTTCTCTGGCTTTCATTTCTACATTACCACTTTGCCAGGTGTGGTGATCTTAGTTGACAGTTTTTCCCTTCATCATTTTGACTCTATCACCCCCTGTGCTGGATAGCTTTAGTGTCAATTTCACACACCTGCGTTGAAGGAGCCTCAATTGGGGAATTGCCTCCATAGGACTGGCCTATGGCCATGTCTGTGGGGCATCTTCTTGATTGTTGAGTGATGTGGGAGGGTGCAGCCAGGATGGTGCCACCCTGGTCACGTGGGCGGGCCTGTGTTGCATAAGAAAGCTGGCTGAGTAAGCAGCATTCCTCCATGGTCTGTGTTCCAGCTCCTGCCTCCAGGTTCCTGCCCTTAGTTCTTGCTTTGGGCTCCCTGATGAACTGTGACCTGGGAGATGTAAGACAAATAAACCCTTTCCTCCCCAAGTTGGTAGTGGTCAGAGTGTTTTGTCACAGCAATGAAGAAAGGAACTAGAACACTCCGTCTCTCCTGACCTTCAGGGTCTTTGATTACTCGTGCTGTATGGAACTATCTTTGGTTCTTGCTGCCGATGCTCTTAGTGTTTTTCTTTGATATTTGGTAGTGTCATGCGGAACTCCTCTTTAGGTTGTATTTGATTGCAGGCATGTGAACTTCCTGTAGCCACATGTTGGTTCTTTCCTCAGATTAGGGAAAATTTTATCCAACACTTTAAAAAAAAAAACTTTTAAAAATTATTTATTTTTGAGGCAGGGTCTTACCAAGTAGCCCTGGCTGACCTAGAACTCACTCTAAAGAATGATCTGCCCTGGAATACAGAGAGAGCTCCACCTGCTTCTGCCTCCTGAGTGGTTAGGTGGAAGGTATGTGCCACCACACCTGGCTTTTGGATTGGGTGCTTTTTGGGGGTTTTAAATTTTTTTATTTTTTAATTTTTTTTTATGTGTATGAGTATATTGCCTGCATGTATGTAAGTGCACCTGTGTCGTGCAGTGCCTTGGAAGTCAGAAGAGGGCTTCGGAGTCCCTTGGAACTGGAGTTAAGGACAGTTTGTAGCTGCCATGTGGGTGCTGAGAATTGAACCTGGGTCCTCCGCAAGAGCAGTCAGTGCTCTTAACCACTGAGCCATCTCTCTAGCCCCTGGAGTGGGTGCTTTTAAATGTTCTGTCTTGAGGCTTGCTGTTCTTCATCTTGCTTGCTGGATGCTGAAACTTCTATTGTAGCTTTAGTTCACCCATTGTGTTATGAATCCATTGTTTATAAAGTTTCTTTCTTCTTCCCTCCTCCCCCCTCCCTTCCTTTCTTGTTTTTGTCAAGCTGTTTCTTTTGTTCATGAATTGTTTTAAATTTTTGTTTAATTTTCATCTGTGTATTCTTGGAGTTCACTGGATTATTAACGATTATTGTGAATTCTTCTTCCTGACCCTTCATCTCTCTCTCTCTTTCTCCAGGGTTACAGTTTTGTTCAGAGGGTAATGATCTTACTGTCTTGTCATCCCGTGTTCTTTACAGGGCTTTCATATTTGCAACTCCATTTCTGATTCTGCAGGTACTTTGGAAGTGCCAACCCTCACTGTTTATAGGAGCTATGATTTTGTGCCCCCCCCCCCCGCAGCTGGTGAAGTCACTGGGCCAGCAGAACTTGCCTTCATGATCTCTAGATAGCTGGGCTGCTGTTTTTGCTTGGAATTTAGCAAATGGCTTTTTCTGCTTTCTGGAAAAAAAAATATTGGTTGTGTGCCACAGTTAAAGTGAGTTGCTATGTCAGCAAGTGCCACTAATCCAGCTGGTCCACAAAGCACATCTCTTGGCACTGTGGTTGCCTATTGCTCCCTGGGGGGAGTCAGTGGGTGGCTTTTGAGGCCTTCAGTGTGGCAGAACTAGAGCGTGCCAATGGTTGTAACTCACAGCTTTGGTAGTGCCCCTCCCTGGAGGTAGCTCTGCCTCCACAGAAAGTACTGTTGAAATCCAAGGCATTGCAAACCAGTGCCTGGCTGTTATTTAGAGTTTTGGTCTTAGCCGACTTAGGGTAGAGTCTGCAGTGGTCTTTGTGGTTACAGGAAGTACTATTTAAACTTGCAGGATTCACTGGGAAGGCCTTCTCATCACTGGGTAGACAGACTGTGTGGAAGGCCCTGTTGGAGGGTGGCCTTCTGGGGAGGCAAGGCAAGGAGCACACACATCTCTGGAACCAGTCCCAATCTGTCAGGTGGTTATGCTGCCACCTGGATCTCTGGCCTGGACATCTGTGGGCAGGCATCCTGCATGTCCCTTGAGTGGTGCACTGGTCCTCTCAGTGTACTCTGCCACTTTCCTTCTTTCTATCTGGCTGTCACTTTCAAAAGCCCCACGAACTGGGAACAGAGTGGGTTCCCAGGCAGTTTCAGGTCAGGGAAACTATTGCTTCCCAGGTTCTCCTTCCTTCTGGGGAAGCTGTGGGTCCTGGGGACTTGGCTCTGTGAGCAGTGTGAGCCTGTTTCTGCCTCTCAATGCTGAGACCCACAGTGTGGAGAAGGGGAGGGGCAATGTGGTGCATACAAGATCACTTTTCTTACCCTAACAGTGCAGTTCTTTTCAGTTCTGTGAAGCACAGAGGTAACTCAGTCTTAATCCCATGCTTTGAGGATTCCACTCAGTCCACTCATTTCAGAATTTTCATGCTCTACTATTTACTGTTAATAAAGATTTGAAAGAATAGAAGTAATTTTAGCATAAACTTTGATAGAATTAACAAAATAATATGTTTATTAAAATTCATAAAATAATATGCATAAATGCATGAGAAGTCTGTTTCTTCTAAGGGGCAACAAACTTCAGGAAAATTTCCCAACAATATAGAGTATTCTTCCCAAGATATCGCAGGCAAGCCTAAGCAAGGACAAGCTCCTCAGGGGACGCTGAAGGCAAACTGTGGCCGCATTGCAGGAACAACTTCAGAAACACTTAAACCAGCAGCTTTCCCAAGTACACTTGAAAACTTTCAACGAGTGGTAGATGGGGGCTACTACCCTGGCCCAGCCTTGTTCACAGCAGATGAGCCTTGAGTATGGGGAGTTGTTCTTGCTGGTGAAGTCTGCATGCACAAAATGCTGTTGGTATTCTGAAGGTTTTGACTGGTTAGAGTCCTAGCACACATTAAGAGCTCACATTCTAACCCTTCTCTTCCATTGCTGAAGTAGCCAAAATCAGCACAGGTCACACGCTCTGTGATTTGCAGGACGTGTAAAGCTGGGAAGAAAGGCCGACAGAGCAATGGAATAGGAGATGGAAAGCATTTGACCGACAGCAAGCGGTATTTGATGCCCTATTTAGTGAGAAACACAGCTACAGCCCCAAACTACAAATCATGTGTACTGTGTATTTGTGTATGTATGGATGCCTGTGTACATGCATGTATACAAACATGAGTATATATGGATGTGTATATGTGTGACTATTTGTGTGTGCAAGCCAACAGAAAAATCTCAACTATGTTCAATAAAAAAATGTAACCATGGGTTTTAGGATATGATTTCTAAAGAGGATATAAAATACATTTGCTAAGCAATGCAGGAGCCATCATCAAACTAGACAAGAAGGAGAATCAATAAGCTTACGTTTACACAATGGTAAAAGTGCGATTATTTGCAATATTTAGTCCTTGTGCTATGCTCATTATCTAGACGTGTACTATCCAGTAGATGCAGAAGTTCTCAACCAGTAAATCAAAGTCAGCCAGCAGGGCACTTTCCCAGGCCCCTGCTGCAAGGTTTTGGCAAGAGTCCCTGCTGGGATGGGGGCCAGCAGCGTTGCATGGTCCGGGGACAGGACTCACCCCGCCAGTCCCCCTTGTGCTCTGCCTGTCTGTGAAGATCTGGAAAGCGGCAGCAACTCACAAGAAATCTGGACAGCTCCAAGGCAAACAGCTCACTGGCAGGATTCATATTTTGAACAAGAGCTAAGACACAACGCAGAAGACCAAACATACACAGGAAAATTTTGCACAAACACAAAACAGGGAAGAGGAGGCTTAGGCTGATATCGGGATATTTAGTAGACTGCAGTCTAGAATTAAAATGTTAATAAAACTGTGTTTATCACAACAATGAAATCATGTTTAGATCCAATAAGGTAACATGGTAAACCTACATAGATTGGGTTTTTATAAAACAACTTAAAAATAACTGAATAATATAATAATTACCCTTTTATACACAATACATAAACCAATTCTAAATTTCATACTCTGGTAGAATGCAAACTTTATTAACTGGACCCACAATCAAATCTGGCATACCATCTGTTTCAGCAGAAACAGTTCAGCTGGAGCACAGTCAGGCCCTGAACGCTGCGGTCAGCGGCTTCCATGCTATACCATCTGAGCTGGTTATCACTGAGGCCCCAAAGCCTAATGACCTACTGCAGGTTGAGTGCACTCTACCTAAAATGGCTGACTTTCAGATTAAGAAACTCAATCCGTATGTCTTCCCTTGCAGAGACACTTTGCACAACCTGCCCTGCATAACCACTGGTCATGAGCAGGAGGCCCCACTGCTAACTCACCATGGCTTAGAAGGCAGAAGGAACTTTACCTGCTGTATAATGCACGGCCTTTGTTACCAACTAACAACAAAATGATGGAGCTGCAAGAAAAGGTTTCTAGCGCTGTGGGGCGCCATGTGGTCTGGAGAGGTGAACAGTCACTCTTCATACCTGTTTTTCCATGTTTGTAGTCTGACTGTTATTGACATCCAGGACCTTTCCCTTGAATTGGTTACTTTTCGACTTTCCTTTATAGGGCTGCTTAGTCGTCTCTATCTTGGATTCCTCATCGCTTTCTGGGTTATTTTTCCATTCTTTCATCATTTCTAATACATTGGCTGGTCTCACGGAAGAGAGCACATTGCCCTAATAGTAACAATAAAAGTTTGCATTAGAATCGGTGTAGATCATTGAAAAGATACTTGCATCTCTTAGTGATATAGTCTCCAAATTCAGTGACAGCCACAGGGAAAAAGCATGGTGTTGAATAAATAGTGACACTTCTGGTGTCTGTTGGAGCACATGTACTGCCCCACCATGGCAAACTCCTCCTGGGAACATCACTTACAATATGCCCAATGTTAGAGGAAAAAGATTCATTCTTGAAAGACCAATGTAGCATGTTTGTGGCCAAGGACAACAACAGCAATTCTCTGGAAGCCAAAGACCCCTTAGCACTTTCCTTAGAAAGCTGATGAGACACTACTGAAAGGCTCATGGGTCCAAGGCTGAGGGTAGGTCTACGGAACACCAAAACATCTAGGTAAAACATCTAAGTTCAGTGGTTTGGCTAAACACTACATCTCAGAATATAGATACTTGATTTGAAAGCTCTTGTCTAGACTGTTTAGATATAATGTAGTCATTTGACTACGACTGACTCAGTGTAGTATTCTGATCCCAGATATGACCTGGATATGCCACACCAAGGTCAACCACTTTATATTAACTATATTTTCCCAAATGTCCAATCTAATGTGTCAAGAAAGGTTCAAATGGCTCAGATGGTTAGAGAATATTTGGGCAGGAAGTTTGGGTCACATTTAGGTTAAAATGAGAGCTTCAACTGTAGGTACAGCTAAAAAGTGATTCTAAGTAATCTTTGTATGTAGGTGGATTGAAGCATTACGCATCAATGACACAGAAAACCATGGGACAGGGTACTTAAAGGGCAGCTGTCTGAATGCACTGTGGAAGATTTACTGAGTTTAACATAGTTATGGTTTAAAATAGATCAGCATTAAGAATGGCCTGGTAATAACAAGCGACAATCCTTAGGAGACCAAGTCCCTGTGGCTCTGTCTCACCCTGTTTTAGAAGGCCAGTTTTCTTAGCCTCCTCCTAGCATTTGAGTGTTCCTTACACTGGCTGTGCTCATTTTTCTGCTACCCTTTTACTTTGTCACCCCTTTCTGCGAACCCATAGCCTACACTGCCTTCAAGGCCCAATTTAAGAGTCATCTCTACCAGAGATCTCTACAGAACTGGGAGCACAGTCAGGGCAGAGGCAGCAGCCATGGAGGGATGGACCCACCTCAAATTCCAGATCTCCCCAGAGCTCTTATCTTATCGAGTTCTGATCTTGACCCTGCTTCACCCCCATGTCCTCTGATGCAACTTCTGACCTTCGTCCTGACTCTGTCAGAAATGCACAGTGCCCATGCTCCTAGACTACAGGGACACACATCTTGGCTCAACTTGATTCTTTTATTTGTAAAGAGAATCTGATAGATCTCTGTCTACAATCCCAGTCCCCAGGACCCTAGTAAGTTTTCCCCAGGTGAACCCTGGATACTGTAGAATTTCATTTCTCTCCCTCTTAGGAATACAACCATGCACTTACTTTGGCCAGTTGAACTGTGTCACTTCTAAATGGAACTTTGGATGACAGTATGCAGTTCACCAGGCTCCCAGTTTGTGCCTTGGTAACTACAGAAGCAAAGTGCTGGAGCCGCACTTAGCCGGAATCCTGAGTGAGGACAAAGTGACTCAGACCCTCTTTTCCTCCTGCCAGACTATTTGCAATGGAAGGTACTAAGACTGAGATTTGGAGGTCATTCGTTACCACAGATCATGTCGCCTGTCCTGATAGAGATAACAAAGCAAATGCTTACACCCTGTAAGTCACCTCTAAGAAGACTTAACAAGAGTGAGTTCAGTCTATAACCATCATGCCCAACAGTTTTATAATTACTGTGGAGCTCATATGTGATCAGTACAATGTGACAGCCCATTTATTTAGTCAGTCTTTGCTTTGCAAAGCCCTGATATGCATACATTTCAGTTATCATGATTTAATTAACAGCACCAGTCCTTCAATGGCAGAGTTCAACCTTCAGTCACCACGGCATATTAACTGTCATTACACAAAGTTCAAACTTCAGTGCTCACTTTTCATTCCACAAGCCAAACAGATGCCTGCCACAATCAGTGACCAATCAGGTCACTTCTTTCAAAGTTTATTGGTTACTGGACACTGGATATAGGTTGGCCAGTTTAGCCACAGACAGCTTAAGAGTATAGTTCAGGTGTCTCCTTGTCTCCAGGGAATTGGTCAACAAAGATGGACGTGCAGCAAAGAAAAGAAAATGGCAATGCTGGGAGGGAAATTTGAATCCAATAAAAGCAATTAACAGAAGAAATAACTGTGTTGGGGCCCCTGATGCTTCCTGATTCACATACAGCCAGAGAAACACAGCAAACTTGACCAAAGTGAAAGGGGCTGTGCCACAAAGGATGAGGAGGGTCCTGAGGAAGGGGTGCCTGCAGACAGCAGCCTTTTTGTTCAGAGAATTCTCAGAGATGTTTCATGACATGGAAAACACAAAGAGCATAATGCTGGGAGCAGATCCAAACAAAGCCAGCAGCGGGACAGTATGCCAAGCCTAACAATGACCTTCCCTATGCATTGAAACTGCTAAGGCAAGCAGACAGGACAACTTAGCCACCTCATCTTGGCAAATGTTTTATAAACAAACAAAAAACACAGACTTTAATAATTCTTAGTATTTCTGCCATTCTAAATGATAACATTTAGCTGATTTCATCTTCATGTGTATTTGCAACTAATACAGAGTTTTCAAATTTAGGGTTTTGACAAAGCTCTTTGGGCAGGGATTTTCCCCAATTATTAAGTCATTTTGCAGTTTCACTTTGTGCAGTCATTTTTACATTCCTGCATTACTATGTAAAGCAAGCATTGCCTCCATTACCTTAAATGTGTATCCCTAGCGATCCTTCAAGGCCTGGATCACCTATACATATACCCAAGAGCTTGGCGGCTAACGCTGTGTGGCTGGAGTGCCTTTGCACTCAAAGAAATTGCCCTGTTCCTCATTCCAAAGAGATTGTGAAGAGCAGCACAGGATCTAAAATGGGAGAATAATCACCAAAAACTTTCTCCTACTTGGAAACTGTTAACACTTTGCCTCCTGTGCTCACTTGTGACACAATGCTTGGACTCATACAGAGCTGAGACTGTCCTTGTCTGCTTGCTAGCACTTAAAGGAGGAACTGCATCAGGTACGTGGCTCGCCAATAATGAATGACCTACAGCTATGCATCATGAACCTTTCAGCCTAAAGAAATTATAAAATCAATGGAAGAAACAAACAAAAATGGGGAAGAGCTGCTAGGCGGGCACCAGACTTGCAGCCACCTCAGCAGCAGGGCATTCACTTCTCAGCTCCCTTTACCGACCCAATCCAGGTCAGACACTGAACGCACAAGACAGAAGTAACCAGAAGTAGAGATTCGGCCTTCCTTACAGAATTTCCACGAGTTTAACCAGCAGGTAGTTGAGACCATTTTATTTTGTAAGACCAGGGGAGGGGAATTCATGGAGAAGCATTGGTCAAATACTAAATTTGGACTGAGTGCCTTAGTGGAAAGCCCCACAAATAGAGACCTAATCATATTTCCTCATCTAACGAAGTTTGACTTTTTAAGTATATGTCAGTGTTCTGTAAATAGTAACATGCTTAATAAGCACTTTTAATGAATTGGACATGTTAACTGGAATGAGATGGCAGGAAACAAAGCTGGCAAGGCGGCAGAACACTCTGGATCTTTAGCTTACGATCATTTTCTACTTTTATAAACAGGTAGGACACTTCCTTTAGTGATGTTACTGCAAATAACTTTTTAAAATTTTTATTTATTTATTTTTTTTGGTCTTTTTGAGACAGGGTCTCCCTGTAGCCCCAGCTGTCCTGGAACTCACTATGTAGACCAGGCTGCCTTGAACTCACAGAGATCCGCCTGCCTCTGCCTCCCGAGTGCTGGGATTAAAGGTGTGTGCCACCACACCCGGCTTAATTTGTATGAGTGCCTTGTCTGCATGGAAGTGTACCTGTGCATGTAATGCCCATGGAGGCCAGAAGACGGTGCCAGATTCCCTGGAACTGGAGCTACAGACAGTTACTAGTCACCATGTGGTGCTGGGAACTGAATCCAGATTTTCTGCAAGAGCAACCAGTGCTCTTAACTGCTGAGCCATTTCTCCAGCCCCATGAATAAATTTTTCAACAAAAATGAAAAATTTAATTAAAAAAACCACAAAGATGCTCAACTTTATAAAATTAGTAAACCCCAATCCAAACAATGAGGTTCCAATTCTCTCTTAACAATGTACACACATTAAAACTTGACAATACTCTGCATTCGTAAAGGTCTGGCCAAACAAGGGCTCTTTTTTTGGATTTAATTTATTTGTAATCATGTACGTATGTTTCTGCACATGAGAGAGCAGAATCCAGAAGAGGGTGTCAGATCCCTTGGCACTGACTGTGAGCCACCCAACATGGGTGCTAGGAACCCAACTCTGGTCCTCTGAAAGAGCTATTTGCATTCTTAACTGCAGAGCCATCTCTCCAGCCCCAAGAGTCTTATTTACCAGCTCCATATGGAATTATCAATAGCCTATCAAAATGTATAATGTGTAGTCTTTTGGATGGGAAATTTCATTATTCAGAGTTTATTCTATAATATGCTAACACAATATGCAAAAATATATTTATAAGAACATTTGTTGTAATATTGTAACAGCAAAGATGTAGAAAAATTTACATGTTCCATATTCATGGGGAAATTTTAAAAAAATAATAGATCATCCGTTGCTTGAGATAAAACATTGCACTTTTTTTAAACAAATAAGGCAACCTTCCCAATATATATTAAGTGAAAAAGAGCAGTTTAAGTAATGTGAACCTATTTGCGTAATGCATTCATATAAAACTGTACAGGATATTGGAAAGAAGACACAAGGTACTTAACAATGGGTACCTTCAGTGAGAGGGAAGGGAGAAAGTTACTTTTCCTGTTGTTTGCCATTTAAATAATTGACCACTGGCAATCTCATTACCTTCA